ATTTTCAGGTGTATTACAAACAAAAAATGCTGAAACTTTTTTGATATTATTATTATAAATACATCAAAATTGTAATTTCAGTTATCAAAGCGTATAAACATATAAGTCCTCCGATTTACTCCAGACAATCACCTATTTCAAGTAGATTGATGTGAACTAGGGATGACTATATTTATAGTTAGAATAAAGGTTTGAAAGGATTTTGAAGGCATGAAATATTTTTATTCAAAACATCTTACATTACTTGATTAGCTAATTTTTGAAGTAATGCATGCATAGATGTTAAATACCATAAATACATTTTAGTTGTCATTAAATATATGGTTAATATTTAAAATTTAATAATCAAATTTATAATAAAAAATTGAATGCAGTTATGTTTTATAAATATTTAATATAAAAACTGGGTATAAAACTAACAATTGTGTATATTTAAAAAAGATATGCACTTATAAAATGCACTTATAGAGGTTTTACTGTAATGTAAAAATTATTTAAACTTATAATTTGTATACAATTTATCACAATACCCATCTTTGTTATAATTCTTATTAAATAATCCAATTTAAAAAATTTTCTTCATTTAACTTGTATTATCTAAATCTTTGTAAATATTTCTAATATAGTTTAGGACTTTCATATTTACCTCTGAATTCAAAAGGTAATAAAGGTTTATCTCTAATATAAATTCCCATTCCATTTGGCGACCAAATGTCAATAACAGCCTTATCAAACATGCCACCAAATGAAATCCATCCAACTCCCGAAAATACCACATCTTTAACACTCATTGTTCCTGGTGTACCTTTCATCGCATATTTTTTTATGCGTTTAATCATTGCTGGGAATAATTCCTTTCTCTTTGATGAAAATATTGGTGGTTGTAAAAATGTTTGATCACCTACGGCCATAGATTGACATATTTCGTCTGCTCGTTTTATAGTTGTGAGATGAGGTTTTAATCTACTAAATACGGTAATACGAATCGGTTTTTGCCCATCAACATAATCTATCCGCCCAAGACCTTCCAAAAATACTGTTTTTCCTATTTATTAAAAATAAAAATAATGATAAGTCCTGATTAAGGATAAGCATATTTTATTTAAATTTGGATTTACCTGGTGTCAAAGCGAACGTTAACGGTTTAATATATTTTTGAGGAATGGTAATTTTCAATTCTTCCTCAGTCAAAAGATTAATCAATTGATTCTTATTTATGATCCCTGGCGTATCAAATAAATGTTTGTCCGTTTGAGGAAAATGAAATCCTTTCGGATTAATACCAAAAGTTTCTTTGAATAATGTCAACGGTAATCCTAACATTCCCATAGTTGTACCTGGTATTGGTGATGATGTTACTTTATGTCGCCACCCGTCAACTACCATGCATCTTAAAAAACTATTGATTAATTCAGATTTTCCAACATTCGTTTTTCCAATAAGATAAATGTCGTCGAATCCACTTCGAATTGTGGACATCGTTTGTGCTAGTTCTTGAACTTTCCAATTTTTTTTTGCGCTTATTAGAAATATGTCACTGATATTAGTAAGACCAAATTTTTTGCATTTTTCATACAGCCATCGTTTAATTCGCATTTCGTTTACGTCATTAGGAAGGAGGTCCATCTTGTTTGCAACTAAAATATTTTGTTTATCCGTACCAATTAGACTATCAAGGTCTTCTAAAAGCGATCCTGGAAAATCAAAAATATCTACTACTGTGACGATTATGGCATCCTCCTTCTTTTTCAAAAATGACAATATTGATTTATCGGTAGTCAATGATTCTTGCCACATATCAGTTGTCACTCGATTATAGTAAAGTAAATTATAACAACGATGACAAAATATCCTTTCGTCTTTTTGCTTTTCACCATCTATTCTTCTTCGTTCCTTTATCGATTCCAATGAACTTGTATCTGCAATTTCTCCTACTGGATAGAGCTTCTTTTTTATATCATCTGGCATTAATCTGATAATCTTCTCAATATCTTCATTATTTAAGTTGTTTGAACCGGTTTTAATTGTAGGTTGTTTAGGAGTTGCTGATGGAACGACCAAATAACCTGGTCTTTTCTGATCTTCAGTTTGAAATTTTGAACCACATCCGGGGCAATGATCTGTTTTTATACTCGGATGTAGTGTTGTTAGGCGAAACTTAAGAATTTCGTCACTGACGAAACGCGTAACTAGTTTCGACTTTCGCCAAAAAAAATTTAAACTGGCGAAATGGCGAAATTGGCGAAAGGTGACGAAACTGGCGAAACTGGCGAAACTGGCGAAATTGCTGAAAGGTGACAAAACTAAAAAAGATAGCAAAACTAATTAATGATAAATTAATAAGAGACAATAATAAGAAGGTATTAAAGAAAATTAAAACTCTTCTATATAATTATCAATCTGTTAATTTCTATATATACTTAATACACAAGTCACTCTCATGATAGTGAATCAAGATTGGAGATTTTTTTTTTTAGAATAAGAATAAAGCTATATCGCAGGTTAATATAATCGACCAATTAGATCACAGGATCTTGTGTAACAAAAATCTGCGAAAAATTATATCTATGCCGAAAAAATTACCGGCCGAAAAATTTTTTGGCTAATTTTTTTATAGTGTCCCAGGAATAATGAAAATTAGTAGGACACGTGATGAATTTTGTGATGATCGTCAGCAAATTTCGGTAATTGTTTTTCGGTAATAAAAGTATATTTTCGATAATATAATTTTCGGCTGGTACAAAACATACCGCGATAATATATCGGCCGAAAATTATATTATCGAAAAACTATTCTGTTATTACCGAATGATCATCACAAAATTCATCACGTGTCCCACTAATTTTCAAATCAGCTGTAAAATTGAAAATGGTTTACAAGATCTATAAGCTCTTACTCTGACACTAATTTTGATGTTTTGCACCGTTTAATGCCTATATTTTGAGAATGGTGTCCATTTTCTACCGTCTTAAACAAATCAAACAGTTTGTAGCATTCGTTTAAGCACAGAATCATCAGCAATTCTTGATTTGAGT